CAGATATTGCTTCAGTGATTTTGGGTCTAAATCATGAGCAATTGGGAAGCTAGAGTTCTTAGTCAGATGACTCTGATCAAAACCCTTCATTCAAATCTAAAAATCAAAGAAAAATGACCAGTGGGGTTGTTTTGATTATTGTTTTTATGAAGGGTTTGATTTGTTTTCTATTCTTTCTGATTGATTCGTTTGTGGGGTTGTTGATTTAGATTTGATTAGTGATTGATGGATTGATTGATTGAATACATTCTTCTTGAAGATGTGTCACAAACAAGGAGCTTAAGCCAGGTGATGGATCGATTAATGAAGAGTAATCCAATCACCAACAACACTGCATCTCAAGGAATCAGTGGTGTGTTGAATGATGCCAAGGAGCTGAACAACCCAAGGATGATACACAGCATGGCTGGATTAGGCTTGGGTAAAGGAGAATCTGGCAAAGTAGCAGCTGCCTCAGCAGTAGCAACAGTTGGCATTGTCGCAACAAGGAGGTATAGCACCAGTAACCTTCGACCCTTATCTCCCCATCTTCCTGTTTATAAGCCACAGAGTAGTTCCATGTCTTCAATTTTCCATCGAATATCGTTTATGTACCTAGCTGGTGTCATTTCGTTTTACTATCTTCTGTATGTGAAGATGGGAGGGATTTGCCTCACCTATGATAGTTTCAACTCAGCCTTGTATTATACATCCAAGGTTAACCCAATGCTGCTCCAGATGTCTGTCTTATCTGTTATCTATCAGATCTTTCATTGGGTTCAGCATTTAGATTTTCTTCCAGTGTCGCTTGGTGGTATTGGGAATCGCTTGACCAAATTGATGAAATTGAAATGAAGAATAGTGTGCTTAAGGTTCTTGTTTCCCCTAAAGTTAAGGAAGAAGACGCTGAGAGAGCAAAGGTGTTTTGCTTGGTTTCTTGCAGATGTAATATTACTTACAAATAAAGAGGAACTAAACTTGATTTCAGTTGGATGATGTTGTTCTATCTTCATGTCAATATTGTTTTGAATAGTCAACTCTATTTTGAGTAGAAGGAACAAAATGGGGACCATTGGTGATTTGAATTATAATGATTATAGCATCACATTTTGTTGATATGATATTTTTTTTCGCTGGATTTGATATGATATCATGACTGAGTAGAGAGCATATAGGAAATTGTGAGTTGTGACTGAGAAGAGAGCATATGGGATACTTACAATATCTGATGCCATTAAATAATGTGCTGAATCCTGCCCTTTTCTCGCTACAAAAATCATATGAACGGAATTAACTTAATTGGGATAACCTTGATATTTGTATCAAAATGTTGTTTTCCACCCCCAACCACACATAAATTGCTGTCAACATTGTTTGGGAAAGCTCCCACATGTGATGTGCAGTTCACACCAAACATGTGTTGCTGGGGTGGTTGAAAGATTTGGCAGATACCTACAGCTGAACCTCCGTTGCACTCTATAGAGAGAACAAGTCTAGACCAATCTGCATGCGATATGAACTTTTGGCCTCCGGGGAAGGTAGGCTGTTGTATTTCCACAATTATTATCCATAATATATTTCTTTCTCCCCTATGGTTTCGTTTTTTTACCCTTCTTGGTATTATTGGAGTAGTAATGTAGTATTTCTTAGAGAAAGAAAATTGTTCAGTAGTAAAGGATTATTGTAAACTGGGGAGAGTTTTGTAGCTCTTCAAAAACTGTAGGTTCTGTAAAATGCCCAAATCAGTCGTATGCCCTATGGAAGTCCCTATAATCTCATATTGTGGTAAGGTGAGCTGATAGTATGCTTTTTGCGTATATTTTCGTGGATGATTGGAGAAAAATATTTAAGCATCCCTGCATATTATAATTTCTCCGTTTATTCAGCTTTTTTACCACCTACAAATGTCATTACTCTCTCTTCAGTATTTTGATGAATACAATTGTAGTGTGTTTGAATAATGCATATCGATATTATAATTGAATAGAGAATCAGGCAGCCCCCTTGTGAATGTTCGTATGGCAGGGGAGGTGTTGCTCTACTCGAAAATTAGATCTTCTGCTCTTCAGACTTGCTGAGATGATTTTTAATAGTCTCTGAAGCTGGTCTAGTAAGCTCCAAGTACAGTTCGTGTTAGATTGAAATTTGGTTTTCACTGAGATGATCACATATTAAATAATTTTGTCCATCCCTTTTAAATATGTTTTTAGCTGATTATTGTATATTTTTCACAGAATTACAATTGTGTTTAAGCAAGAGGTTGTTAGTCACTTGTCTGAGAGTTGTACTGCCATAATGGATATTCTAATGTTTGGAGCCTTCTAAAATACATGGGCAGTCTTCTCCAAACATCAGTTTTTTGGTTCGCATGAGGTGTTTACCCTAAAAAACATGGGCATTCTTCTCCACAAATTCCATCCTTTCGAAAACCACTCTTCTGGAGGTATTTCCCTCAAGCGAAGGGTGAATATACTTGGAAGGAACCTTGATAACACTTGGTCAGATTGTTTAAAAGATGGCCATCAGAGAGTATCTCTGGGAATGGGTTGCATCTCAAGGTATATGAGTGAACAAGGTGGAGTAGCTCCATCACTGAGTGCAGACCAATTCATAGTATAAATAAATTGATGAAACCTAATATTATTCTGATAAATAGATAGAATAGAGGATACCTGGATCCACATCAAAGTACTCAAAAAGAAACTTGT